AGACGTTCTACTATACTTAGATTGCGAGAGTTCAAATAAAGTTTTCTGCTTACCACCACTAGTACAAGCAGTACCAATCGACGACTCGAATGATTTTTTTGCACTTTTTCCAATGACTGTCATTTTGTGATGGCGGTCCAAATGCACGCCCAGATTGGTTGTTCCGCCACTGTACTTCACCTCTGTTCTACATTTTTTACACACGGCGACGCCCGGTTCAACGCTTGTTTTTTCCTTGTATTGCTTCAAGCCAAAGTGTTGCCATATATCGGACTTAGCCTTCTTATTAGGAATGATGCTGAAGCTTTCGTCCTTTTCCTCCGCCATCTTTCCCGCGACTACTTTCGTTTTCGCTCGCACATGCGTGTTTACTGTAAACACACTACCGCTTCCGGGACAAAAAACAAAAACGTCGAGAAAGCACCTACGACTACTTAGCTGGTTTTATTGTAATTTGATCGCAATGTGAATGAAAAATTTCAAAATAATTCATGGAGAATAAATATCGAAAATACCGGTATATGGAAAATCGTATTGCAATACATATCGTTTCTCAGCTGTATCACAATATACCGGTATAACGGTATATCGTTACACCCCTACTTCCCTTGGACAGGTGTATTCACACTTTTACCGGTGTGAGATTTCCTTGTCTCTTCCCCTGGACAGGTGTATCTGCACTTTTACCGGTGTGAAATTTCCTTGTCTCTTACCCTGGACAGGTGTATCCGCACTTTTACCGGTGTGAGATTTCCTTGTCTCTTCCCCTGGACAGGTGTATCTGCACTTTTACCGGTGTGAGATTTCCTTGTCTCTTACCCTGGAAAGGTGTATCTGCACTTTTACCGGTGTGAAATTTCCTTGTCTCTTACCCTGGACAGGTGTATCCGCACTTTTACCGGTGTGAGATTTCCTTGTCTCGCCCTAGGGTTGAGATGGGTGGATTCCCCTATTCATAACACAATGGCATGACGTCACTTCAACAATACAATGACGTCACGTCAACAATCCATCAACGTCACGTCAACCCTGAATTTAGCATGTAACGTTATCATTACATTGTGTATATGATACACAATGGGAGAACAGGGTAAGCGAAAAAGAATCATTCACCCCCTTGTGGGTGAGATAGGGAAAAATCAAGGTTAGGTAGGGAAAGTGGAAACACAAGTTTTTTGCTTGGCCTTATGGTTTTGTGCATTGTTTGTCAAAGGTCAAGGTGCCTACGTAAACTGTCGGTATAAAAATGAAACTCACAACCTTTGTATGTGTGTTAGCCTAAGCCTCTCTCGTTTTTGGTGTGATCCCAAAAAATTGAAGGTCACTGTTACTAAAAATAGAATTTCACAGAAAAACTACCAGAGGGAGTCCAAACGTGGTATAGAGGTTGCCCTAGGAATGGAACCAGCTCTTTTGATTTTTGGCATGGTTTACCATCTTAAAGAGTAAAAATGTAATTTTAGTTAGATTGACATGATGTAAACAAAAATAACACACAAGAAAAACAATATTTGAACAATATCATTTTAGAAAACCCTGTTATTTTTTCAATTATTGTGGGATGACACACAGAGAAATGACTTTGTCCCACTAAACTAAACTAAAAAAAATGTTATTGCATTTTCTATAACTTTATCCTGTTCGATATGTAACGTCTACCTCCTTTCATCAGTATGCGAGTAGTAAGACACCGGAAGGAGAGGAGTATATGACCTACTCGGATCTGATCCACAGCTACCTGGGTCTACTCCACGGAGATGACTCGGACGAGTACACACTTCAGTTGTTTGGCTCCAGCGTGGATACGTCCAGGAACCAGTAGGTTTAAACCCTGTCTTTATCAATGTGGGTGGAATCATTTCATCAGATAGGATTATTATAAAGCTAAGATTATTGTTTCATCAAAGAATCAATGTTCAAATTACCTTATTTATACTATGGAACTCTTTTTTTAAAAGGGGATTCATTTTTAGCTCACCTGGTCCGAAGTTCGGACCATCGTGAGCTTATGCCGTGGCGCAGCGTCCGTTGTCAACTTTTTCTTTAAAACCTATCTACTCCTAAACGCTTAAGAGGATTTCAACCAAATTTAGTCTGAAGCATCACTAGGGGAGGGCAATCATTTCTTAAATAAATGAGGTTGGTTCGACCCCTGGGGCCAGGGGGGCGTGGCCCTGAAGGGGAACTTAGCTAAATTTGCTTTAAAACGCATCTCCTCCTAAACACCAGAGAGGATTTCAACCAAATTAAGTCTGAAGCATCACTAGGGGAGGGCAATCATTTCTTCAATAAATGAGGTTGGTTCGACCGCTGAGGCCAGGGGGGCGGGGCCCTGAAGGGGAACTTAGTTAAATTTACTTTAAAATGCATCTATTGCTAAACGCCAGAGAAGATTTCAACCAAATTTGCTTTGAAACTTCATTAGGGGAGGGCAATCATTTCCTAAATAAATTAGACTGGTTCGACCCCGGGGGGTTAGGAAGACCGGGCCTCAAAGAGGAAAATTATCTAATATATTGCTTTAAGACGCTAATATCCCCTAATTGCCTGAGTGGATTGTACAAAATTTGGTCAAAAACATTATTGAGGAAGAACAAACATTTCTTAATTGAATGAGGTTGTTTTGACCCCTGCAGTCCTAAGAAATAGTACAGCTAGATTATCATATTCTATGGTGTAGTTTCCATAAATTGTTAAAAAATGGTTTCTAGGTTTATAAAAGCTTAAAGTTGAATGAAAATTAAAGTCTTGTCTAATTACACCCTGTAATATGACACATTACTTATTTCAAAATCTGTTAACATGGCACTCAATGGAGGCCCCTGATTAGTTGAAAGTCAGATATTGTGGTACCAGTTGGGGTTAGAACATAGATCTTGTCTGGTTTTGAGGAAATTTCATATAACGATGCATTCAGTGGTAATGACTTGAATATAAAACCAGGTGAGCGATACAGGCCCAATGGACCTCTTGTTTAGTATGGTAGCTTAGAATTATATACTCTCCAATAATGCACTGTTCATGATTTGACGGTAATATTTTTTTTCTTTTTCATTTTGGTGCACATGCTGTCTAGTTTAAAATTTATGTGATCAAATAATATGTGTTATAAAGTATCGTTGAATCATTACTTTTTGAATTTCCCTTTTATGTGTATACAAATTTACCATTGATCTCCTGTGCTTAGCAGCAAACATTTTGTTGATATAATCTGTTAAAAACCCGCCTTTCCTTGGAAGTTTCCATTAAAACATGTTTTTTCTTTGGAAAACTCAGTTATATTTTACTTGTGGGAGGATATTTTGAAATTATTTACGTTTAAACTTTTCGTAGGATGATCTCGTTCGCGGAGTTCAAGGCCTTTGAGTCCCTGCTGACACTTCCAGACTCCATGTATGCTCTTGCCTTCCAAATCTTTGACAGAAATGGAAACGGATACATCTCATGTGGTAAGTTATATTGTATAAGTCATGTTGACCCAGACAGGGTAAACTGCATGTTTTCTCTCTGTACAAGAATAGGGACCAATCACTTCTCACTGCAGACCTGAAATGAAGCTGGTAAGGACATTCACATTTCTTTCAGTTATATTATGTGCTTAAGAGTCCTGAAAAAATAAGTTTTTAATTCACGAAATATTGTAAAACACAGCCTCTGGGTGAATATTGTAAAATTGAAGCATGGTCCCAATGTGCAGCAGTGAAAAATTGAAGCATTGTAAAAAAGAACATATTTGTGTCAATGAAATGATTTTGTTAAAGTCCCAAACCAGCTAGGACACAGGTTTTTACGGTAAATTATAAATGAACACAATGTGGAGAAGGGGTACCTTGGATGCAGCATATGAGAGTTACTTAGAACTGAAAGAAATTGACAATAATTGGTAAATTACTTTTACTTTTAAAGGAGGGTTCATACCTTTTTCAAAATCCAGACAGGTTGTAGTGTATATCTATCTTTGATATTTTATACTTTATCAGAAATGTGCAAAGTTGATCTAATATTATTATATTAGTTATATTGGAGATTGAATTTGACCAATGTCTTGCTGGATTTTAATGGTACATTGTCAAGACTTGACAACAGTTTGAGTAAAGCCACTTCAAATATTTCTTGTTTCTTGTTCAGGGGAATTTGAGGAGATTATTCAACACACTACTCTCAACAGAAAGATTCCCTTTGATTTTGACTGTGATTTCATCAAACTCCACTTCGGTAAAGACAAAGAAAGGAAAGTCACCTATCCTGAATTTACCCAAATGATCCATGTGAGTATGACTAGATACCATGTGAGTATGACTAGATACCATGTGAGTATGACTAGATACCATGTGAGTATGACTAGATACCATGTGAGTATGACTAGATACCATGTGAGTATGACTAGATACCATGTGAGTATGACTAGATACCATGTGAGTATGACTAGATACCATGTGAGTATGACTAGATACCATGTGAGTATGACTAGATACCATGTGAGTATGACTAGATACCATGTGAGTATGACTAGATACCATGTGAGTATGACTAGATACCATGCGAGTATGACTAGAAACCATTGCTAGAGTATATGAAACCATGCATGCTGCAGAGTGGTTGTATACCATGAAATGTTTGCCCAGTTGAACTTGCACCATTCCCCCATGAAATCAACTTTTGCCATTGTTAATTTCGCCCTTTTCATTTAATATGCTGTTAACTTATGTTCGCTGTAATAATAAATTCACCCTCATTACGGAGGACGAGAAAGGCGAAAATTTAACTGCAGTGACATATTTTCAGTATACAGTAATTTAAGAAAACTTTTGTTAAAAATGTTTTCAAGGTATATTTTCAGCTATGTAAAAGACATTTTAAAATAATTTTTCGACATTTGGTTGAAAAGGAAGTAAATGTTAACATAATTGCCTCTTCAGAAATAAATATGTATGTATTAGTAAAATCGGTATTGTATATGATTTCCTTCTGTTTGAATTGTTTGTTTTAGGACTTCCATGATGAGCATGCTCTCCAAGCGTTCCGCAGGCTGGACAGGAAGAGTACAGGCTACATCAACGCGAAGGACTTTGAGGAGATTATGGTGTCCCTAAAGAGTTATCTCCTCACTAGCTTCGTCAAGGATAACCTCGTCACAGTAAGATACCGATCTTGCAAAAACGCCCTGGCAATAAAAGAGAATTACAACCCCGATCATATATTGACCTTTGTGGTTAAACATGACAGATACTTATTATTTATATCAATTACTATTAGACAATTTGATTAAAGCTTTGTAAGAAGTTGTAACGAGTTTTCTGAGGGTGATCGTGTTACGTTAATCCAATGTTTACTGATCCATGGCTGAAAAATAAGGGAGACAACTGTCACTGTTTTGGCTGATGGTTGGCTCGTTGATAAGTTTGTAGAGTTCTTCTGCTTCATATCTGATTGAAACAGTGGTTCTATTCCGTCACTCCGGTTTCATGCAAAAAAAAATATGCAAAAAGTCATTTCATTGTAAATATTATAAATATTATAAGGGATTATAGAGAAATAATGTAAATTATGATTTTGTTGCTATGTTATTGTTACCATGGTTGCTATATGTAACTATAATTGTGATATTAACGTAAAAATGTGTTGTTAGGTATCTTATTTGTGATTGTGTGGCTAGGTTTCTAACACACAGGTTGTTAGGTAACTGTTTGTGTTTGTGTTGCTAGGTTACTAACACACAGGTTGTTTGGTAACTTTATCTGTTGTTAGGTTACGTAAGAGGTAAACTGTTTGTGTTGCTAGGTTTCTAACACACAGGTTGCTAGGTAACTATTTGTGTTGTTAGGTTACGTAAGAGGTAAACTGTTTGTGTTTGTGTTGCTAGGTTTCTAAAACACAGGTTGCTAGGTAACTATTTGTGTTGTTAGGTTACGTAAGAGGTAAACTGTTTGTGTTGCTAGGTTAATGTGTTACTAGGTTACTAATATAATCAGTTGCCGAGTGATTTCTACTGTTGCTAGGTAACTGTTGGCGGGGAGAAGCACAGGCAGGTGAGTTACTCCTACTTCATGGCCTTTATATCACTGCTGAACAACATGGAGCTTGTGAAGAAGATTTACATGTCTGCCACACGTCGCGATGCCACCAAAGAGGTCACGAAAGGTCAGTAGGTCACACCCTTAACCCTTGATAAGACAAAGCTTTTGAAAACATACTGGAAAACTTGGACGCCTTGGAACCTAAATTATATGAATTAACTTTTAGATACCTATTCAATATACCTTATTAGGGCCCCGTATCGGAGATACGGGTGCCCTATAGTAATCACTCTGTCTGTCTGTCTGTCGGTCTGTCCGTCCACAAATTTTGTTCCTGGCTGATAACTTTGGTATCTATTGACCGATGTACATGAAACTTGGTCAAGATGTTCAGATCACAAAAATACACATTGAGGTAAAAAGTCAAGGTCAAATTTTACATCTTTTCACTAATGAACATTTTGTTATGACATTATGAAGCAAAGTTGATCAGAATTAAACAAGGAGTCGACGGACCTAAGGTCAAGGTCACCGGGTCAGGGGTCAAGGTCAAATTTTGTAGCTTTTCACTGGTGAACATTTCCCTATGACACTTTGAGGCAATGTTGCTCAGAATTAAGCAAGGAGTCAATTGACCAAAGGTCAAGGGCACTCGGTCAAAGGTGAAGGTTAAATTTTATACCTTTTCCCTGATGAACATTTTGTTATGATATTATGAAGCAATGTTGTTCAGAACTTAATACAGAGTCAACTGACCTTAGGTCCAGGTCACGGGGTCCAAAGGGTCAAGGTCAAGTTTTGTAGTTTTATAGGGGATATATTGCCACAAGACGGGGCCCTTACTGACCTGTCAGTGTTTTAGTTTTTTTACTGTTTTTTAAGTCTGTTTAAATATCGATTTTGTATAACTTACAGTTTCAGTTAGTTGATTTACACCATATAAGGCATACAGGAAATGTGTTCTGTTGACATTGTATGGTTACTTAAAACATCTCTTGTCCCAAGAGTGACACATGATGTAAATCACACAGTGTGTTTTGATATTTTACTTTATAAAGGAACAATGTTTGTATTAATTGTGTTGTGATGTTTTGATGTTTTGCCTATCAATGTGAATCACGCTCTCTATCGATAGATGAAAGATTCTCGGTCGAGTGACATTAGAAATATACAATTTGTCACATCGTTATATAGCCTAGATATAAGTCGCTCACTCAGTCATATCTTGACAAAGGGACTAGTTGGTCTTGAAACATTGCGACACGTTTTATGTATAAAGTAAAACTTCGAAATTACATATTTCCAAACTGATGAATCTTATTGAAAGCATTTTTTAGAAATGAATATTTTTTTCAATACAAAATACATAAAATTCTGATTGTAGAGGAAATGCTTTACCAGTCTCAGGAATATTCTCAAATTACACCTCTGGAACTGGATATCTTGTTTCACCTGGCGGGACTGAAGCATCAGGGCGGGTAAGGGCTGTCATGAACCTTTGTCCATACGTTGGTAATTAACCAAAGTGATACTGACATTGATTAACACACATTTGTCTTTTCCTGTGAAGATGGCCTGTATACTGAAAAGTTTAACTCGCCTTTTACGCCCTGTGTAATATGGGCAATTTTATCATTACAAACAAAAGTAACAAACAACTTGACAACATATTAGTTAGATGTGAAGTTGTGAAATTAAAACAAGGCGAATACGGACTTAGCGGCAAAATCTGAAAGGTTAACGGGGCAAATTTCACCTGCATACAATATATTGGTATCATTTTGATATGGTTAAAAAAGTCTTAATGAAAACAAAAGTTAACTAAAAAGGGGGAAAGTGGTACAGGTCCGTTGTGCCTCTTGTATTGGAGCTGATTTGCTGGAGAACTTTAAAGTGGTACAGGTCCGTTGTGCCTCTTGTATTGGAGCTGATTTGCTGGGGAACTTTAAAGTGGTACAGGTCCGTTGTGCCTCTTGTATTGGAGCTGATTTGCTGGGGAACTTTAAAGTGGTACTGTTGTATTGGAGCTGATTTGCTGG